TTTTTTTTTTTTTTTTTTTTTTTTTTTTTTGCAATATACTCAAAGAACAAAAAAAAGAAAACAAAATCCACATGTTTTTAAAATAATGCAATGCAATGTTTTATCAAAAATAAACTAATTTTCACCGAAGCATCATCGTTACTTTTAGAAATTAAAGTTCAATAGCATTTATGATATTTATGAAAAGCATGCTTACAAGTGCAAAAGAAAAGTGCTAAAATTTAAAAGTTAATATCAATAATTTTTGCAAATCATATTTATACTTAAAATATTAATTTTTCGCTTCATTCTTAATCATACTTTTGCTTACACAAATATGCTAAAGAATAAAATAATGATTATAACAAAGTTGAATATTCATATTAAAAGTATCATACAGTAATACCAATAAAACACAGTATGCATTTGAAGAAAATCATTTTCAAGTAATTGTATTTTGAAAGTTTAGATCTTTGATACTCTAGTTTAGTTCTTAAACTTTTTACTCCACGTTAATAGCAAAATTCTTCTACATATTAATTATTTAAAATTCATTATATTTTAGTGCAATAAATGTTTGATCAAAATTGTTGACAAAATTTTTTAGCAGTGTCACGCTATTTTAAAATATTCACTTATTATTAAATATTTACTTGTTATTACAATAATAATGATTTACTTTTTTAGAGTAATTTACAAAATCAAAATTTTTATATATTGAAAGAAAATAGACATAATTTTACATCTATTATACTAATAAATATCGAGTATAAAAATTTCTACTTTATAATAATAAATGACTGAGTGAGATTCATAAATTTGATAATATTAAGCATGTAATCTGTGAGTAACAAACATTAAAAAAAATTAACGAAAGTAATTAGTATAAATTAACCAAATTAATACTTCGTACTTATGTAATTAATGATTATTAGCTTACTAAATTAAGCTAATAATCAAATATTTTTACAGCAAAAGCTTTGAAAAATATTTTCTGTTCAGCAATATTTATTAAAGATTGTACTCTATTTTTCCTAAAATTTATTCTCTATAATGGTGTCGTATTGTTTTTTAATAACAATTTAAATTTTTATGCCATCAAAAACTGAAGAAAATTAAGTTTACATGACTGCAAAAGTGATATTATATGAACAAGCAAAGTGAAAAATTCGATCTGTTTTTTTTTGTTGAACATATAAAGCTTTAATAAGAAATAAGCTAATAAATCAGGCATATTTTTCATTCCCAATTGGAAAACTCAAATTTACAAAATGCTAATCAGATAAATAACATATAAAAGAATATGTTATTATAAATCCAAATACTTTAAAATATATTTAAGCAGTTATTTAAATGACAATCGTTGTTTCTTATATGTTTTTAAGCCATTTTAAGGATATTTTAAGCTCAAAAACAAAAAATTAAATATGCTTAAAAATTTGCAGCTAATTTCAGCACAATATTTTTTTACTTTAAAAACAAGAATTCGATCTGAAACAAGATTATTATTATATTATTTAAATATTTTTTATTTCCAGGACAGTAATTTAAAATTATTGAAAAATAAATTTTTATGCAATCAAAAAATAGCCGAGAATTTAAAATGTATTGTAAGATTTTTGCTTCATTTTATTTCACGACACCTTTTTGCAATCTGATAATTCATAGAATAAAGATTTATTCATTTGCATAATTTTTATACATTGAAAGGAATCATTTTAATTCTTTTTTAGATATTATCTTGAAAATATTATAATCATTACTAATCATTTTTCTTTTTCAATCTTATAAAAGCAGTAATCACTGAAATGGATTTTTTTATTTAGCAATTATCTCTAAAAAACTTATCAAAATTTTACAATAATATATACTTGACAAATATTGTATTCAGCTAAATAATTCTATACATTAGTACTTTTTTCATTAAGTAATGAAAAAGGAAAGATAATAACACTTTTTAATTCCTACCTGTACAAATTTGAAATTAAACAAACTTAAGCTAAAATTTAATAATGCTAATTTATAAA